TCCAGTCCCTGACATTCTGTGATTCTGTGAACGGATGAATGAGGAGATAAAAAGATCATAGGTACAGCAGAGCCACAGGGAAAGAAAAAACAAGATACATTTTTGAGAGGTGCTAGAGAGCTCTTGGCAGCAAGACACACTGGTTCCAGCAACAGTTTTACAAGCACTGGAAGTTACATGGTTTGTGACACAAGTCAGCATGAAATGGCACTATTGGGCTCCTTGTCCTGGCACAAAAGCCAAGAGGAATACCTTTGTAAAAGCTCCAAGTCCTCCAGTGACCGATTTGGGGCTTTGCACCTTGGAATGACTCCCAATGGGACAAAGGGGTGGCATGGTGGCAAACAGAGAATCCTCCTGCTGCGAATACGAAGACACAGCACGAAAAATCAGTGAAACATCCAATACAAGAAATAAAAGTGATTGCTAATAAAGGGTAGCATGGACCATCTGGGCAGGCCAAATTACCTGTACAAATAAGACATTTCCAAAGTCAGTCAACACTTAAGTGAAAGGAGTGTAACATACTTAATACAACCTACAAAGCAAATCCTATTTGGAAAGTAACATCTCCAACAGCAGTAACTGTTTCTAACCCTATCATATACAGATGAAAAATCAACTCATGTTCCCTGACCAGCTTTTTATACAAAGCATTTCAGCACTGTAAAATTCAAGCAGGTGAAGGGGGGGATCTTACCAATGCGTATAAATACCTGATGGGAAGGTGTACAGTAGATCAAGCCAGACAACACTCAATAGTGTCCAGTGAAAGGCCAAGAGTCAGTGAGCACAAATTGAAACACAGAAATTCTGTTCAACTATAAGAAAAACTTTTTTACTTTTTTTTTTTTTTTAAATTTAATGGTGATCAAACACTGGAACAGGCTGCCCAGAGACACTGTGGATTCTCCAGCCTTGGAGATACTCAAAGCCCAACTGAATACGTTCTTGAGCAATCTGCTCTATTTCACCCTGCTTTGCGCAGGGGAGTTGCACTGGATGATCTCCAGAGGTCCCTGACAACCTCAACCATTTTGTGATTCTATACGCAATCTCGGAGAGAGAAGACAGTCTAAAAAGAAACAAGGAGGGGAAAAAAAAGAAAGTTCAATTTAAGTCTGCAAGCAAAATTCCCTCAGGTGCATTTTTGCTCTCCTGAAACTAGAAAGATGTGATGGCACACAGTCTTTCCAGGCAGAAACAGTGAGGCTACATAACTAAGTGGAGTAAAAAAATATTTCCACACCTGCAAAATCATGTGCCTGGCATTTCTAGATCTCAGGCTGGCAGAGAGAAGTCAAAGGCATTTGAGGAAGTATGTTGCCATTCTGTTGTGTTTAAGTAAAATAACTGTACTCTTTTACAATCAATGTGAACTCCAAAGCCATGGTTTCACACTTAATTCGCCCATCCTTGGGTTGGATTGTAACCAGAAAGTAAGCCCTCAGACTCTAACCTAGTACTCCTGCCATCTTCCTTGTACTGACACAGCTGGCTGAAAACAGAGCAGTTTTCAACCGGACTGGTTGCCTGCTCTGGTTCACCACATTGCTGCACAACCGCTAGCAAACGGGGGGGTGAGAAGACAAGGCTAGAGGACTAGTCTAGTCCTCTCAACAGCAGCCTGCATATCAGTCATTTTAAAATTACTGAAGAAACACAGCCTTAAGTCATTAAAAAAATACGGAGAAAACTAACACATAGTGAAGAGATGAAAAGTGGTGAGTTAAGCACAATCTGTAGCATCACACTGAACTATCAGACACTTCCTCCTCTTTAAAGAGACCACAAAATTACAGCTTTTCCACTAACCAGAAGACAAAATTCAAAATACATTTCTGTTTACAGAGCTATGATTTATACATATATAGATTTAAAATATCTTCAGATTTTAACTTTGCCCCGGAACTACAGAATTCAACTGTTACTAATGACACCTGCCTACTGTGACTCATTGAAAACTTTTCAGAAAGAATTGTCCCAAATCAGTGGAAAATCAAGACTAATGAATGGCTTTCAACATAGTTAAGTGAAATCCATCTGAGCAGACAGGCTCTTAAAAGCTAAATAACTACCTGCACACCTGACACTTAAAAAGCTACTCCAAACTAACTGCTTCAGACAGCAATCTTCAACACTTTTCCCTAACAGACACAGGAAGCACTTCAGTTCCAAATGTTAAGTGATCTTCTCTCTGCAGGCTGACTGGCAAGCCTTCCTTCCCTGCTCCATATCCTGCATTAATATTCTTGCAACTTGGAGACAGGGAAACGCTCCTGTTTTCAGCAGCACACCCACCAGCTGCTTTCAGGAAGAGCCTCACTGATGCCTCTTCCCTGCCAGAAATATCCTTCCTAGCACAAGATGTGGGAGAGATTTTACATGAGACAGTTCAGCTCTGTACCTTTTGGGCTTTGCAGATCAGAAGCACGAACCCTACTTATCACTGTTTGTTTACACATTTGGTTACTACACTGTTTGCACAAACATTTTTCTAAATTCAGCCAGTTGTAAAACCACTAAATGAGCTGCTAGGAGCAGCTGCTGTGCAAAAATAATGAATAGAGTGAAGGTTTTGAGGTAGGCACCTCTGATTTAATCACATACTGTCACTAACAAAGTGAAGAAGATAAAAGTCAGCTACAGAAGAGCTTTTTTGAAAGATAAGACATTTTTAGAGCTATGCACTCCATGGATTTCCTTGTAGAAAAGCAAAAGAGCAGTGCCTTTAACAGAGGTGTAGGCAAGTCTAATTGGAGCTGCACGAAGTGACACTATCAACTTGTATAACTGCCATGTTCTCATATGGCTCCATCTGTTACACACAGTAAACCTTCACATGAAATGACAACCACAAGAACTTGCCTGAAATGCAAAATTTATAATACTAAAAAGCCTTATTTAATAGGAAGCTGGATTTTAAATGGAAAGTATGCGCCTAATGAGAACATTACCTTGACAGCTGAGGTGACAAAACTGCTCCCATGGGTCTTTGATACAGGAGATCCAGTTCCGTGAGAGGCCTGACAAACACTGGTCAGTTTGCTGGTTGGGCTCCCTGCGTATTGGGAATAAAGCAGATGTCGGGTGAGAGCTGGGGAGCAGTGCCACTGAACACATGAAACCTCTTCTAACAAGAAACATGGCATTTCATTTTGCCTCTGTATTCTTCATGAGGTACATCAGTGGGAGTTGGCATGGGCATGAAAAAAATCCACTACCAAATTTCCACCTGCAGAGCCTGTGCCCCAGAGTAGTACTCTCCACCCAGAGCTCCGTTTGCTGCAAGCAAATGGTCAGGCACCTTCCTGGGCAGCTGAGGATATCAGCTAGCGGTGCAAATATGTGAAATTAGGACAGTAAATGAGCTGCCAGTCAGAACTTGCTGCTGCAGATGTAAGGTCCTCCATTGCCCAGAAGCCCTCTGAACCTACACTGGCCTCCGGGGGAAAGCCTGGAAGAGTCTGGAGAGGGGAGGAAAAGGAAGGCCAGGAAAGGAAGGAGACAAAGCAAGGAGTAACAAGAGGAAGGAACAGAGTGAGTAGGGTAAAGAAAGAAACAGAAATAAGGAATGATGACAGGGTCCTCTGTCTGCAGAAGAATGCTCTTGCAAAATTAACATACAGATACATGTGTCACAGCATTCTCCTGACCCCTTGAGATGGATGGGCGTTCAGTGGTAAACTTACCCTGCATTATCAGTGTGCACACAACACTTGCTCAGCAGCAGTATTTTAACTGCTGTTGGCTTGGTTTGTTAGTTTTGTTTGTTCAAGAGATATCGGGGCCATGGATTACACTCATGAAAACACAGTAATAGTCTCTCATACAGTTGCATTAAATTTACAAGTAAATGAGCAGCCATTTCTTGAAATAATGGGGTTTGGGAAGGCTGGCTTTCACAGAGCATAAAGATCTCACCTCTCTCTTAAAATATGACCTGCTGTCTTATCAAAAACGGGCCCAGTGACTTTGTCTGAAGTATCACATTACACTCAATCCAGCCTGGCTGCTGTTGCCAAAAAGCCAGTTCCACATTCCCTCTTGCTCCCTCATACAGGGTCTGGTGAAGAGGCTATCTGACAACACAGCTCAATTTGGGGAGTGCAGGGTGTTAATATTCTGCTCTGTCACTGATCTGATTCAATTCGTGCAGGACACGAGGGAAACAGCAGGACTGCAGGGGAGGGAGAGGCTGCAGGCAGTTTCTTCCACACTAAGGTGGTGGGAAACTGCGCCTCTAATGGCGTTAAAACTTTTATGTCCAAGCTATCTGGTGCATCTACAGATCCTATCTTCCACGTACAAATCTCTACTAGGAGAACACAAAAGTTACCCAACCCATGATAAACCACATATGCAGAGTAGACAGTCAGGCTGGAGGTAAAGAAGAAACAGAAGAAAAAGGCAGAAAATCCCTAACCAACTAACCAACCAAAAATCTATTGGTGAAACAGCTTCAGGGTCACCAAGAAAGTCCCAGAACACACGTTAAAAAATTAATCTATGACTATTTCCCCCCCCCAGTTCTCTCTGTGGTTAAGTTAAAATTAACATGACAGCTGTGTTCCCTCAAATAAAAGAAGGAGCTATTACTAAGATAATTTTTGCACTTTCCAATCATACCCAAACACTTTGTGTGTTACATGGATGCTGCAGTTCACCACATGGCTCTGAGCATCCTTCTGAGATGCTGGCAAGCACACACATACACAAACAAGCGTGTTTTTAAATAGACAGCAGTTCTTGGCCAGAAATCACAACAAATAAATGACTTTTGAGTGACCCCTCCTCCCACCCCACCACAAAGATTACTGGTTGACTCCCATACTCATCACCTGTCTCCTGCAGTTCAGCCCTCCCCCCTGACCCCAGGTTTATGTCTCCACTGAAGCACAGAGGGAATCCAGTTAGAGGAATCCAAACTGGCTAGAATGAGACCAACTAGAAGTTGAGAGCAGTAACAACCACCAGCATAGCTGTTCTCCTGATAACCTGGCTCTACACATTTCAAAACATCTAGAGCATTGTACACCGGGATGTAAGACTGATCTGCAAGTCACTGCAAGCTCTCCATGCTTTCTGACCACATCCGTGATACAGTTCTCACCCAACCACCTATGCACTTTCTGTCTAAATCTCTGTGCACCACAGTCTACATCACTTCCTCACCCTCCCTTTTGCCTGCAAAGAACAAGCTCTCATTGAAGAGCTATCTGTGAATTCAATTTGGCATTACACTATGTGTGGTTTCCCAAAGGAAGTCATGTTAAAGTCTGCGATACCCTTGGCCAGTTGTGCAAACCAGCAAAACCTCCCGCTTTCTTTGCAAAGTACTTTTTCATCTTCGTAAGCTGAAATACTGTTATTATACTAATCATTTTAAAGGGAGAATAAACTTGAATGGGTAAGACTAAGTCACTGCCTTCTGTGACCACACTACACACCTGTGCTTGTGGCTGTTGCTCCAACCATCTGTCCAGGCTTGTCCACAATAATATATGGATTATTAATGACTGAACTAGCAGAGCCTTGCTTCATGTGCACCGGAGTGGAGGTTGGGGTACGAGGTAGCGGAGATGGACTAGGGGTCGATATTGGAGAACCTTAAGAAAAAAAGTCCAATGCTTCTGTCTTGTAAATGTTGTAAGAATATTAAAATACAGCAAAAGTAGCACTTTTAAAAATGGCTTAGAGAAGGAACATTTTTGAGGATGCATTTCCCAGCCTGAGTGGTATCACAGGACTTGGAGAAGGAAAGAGGAGACAGAAGGAAAGGAAAAGGCATGTAAAGCACTATGGCTCATACCTACCCCAGATATTCTCTGCCTACCAGGACAAATAGGGTTCAAAAGGACTTTGAGAAGCCATCTGGTCCATTCCTGAATCTTGAGGGATGTTACCTAAATCATTCTCACTCTCAGGACCAGTCCACCCAAGGAGACGAAGAAAGAGAGCTGAGCTCCCTGATAGGCACTCTCTTTCCCCTGTGAAGCCCACGGTACCGGCATTCAGAGCTGGGAACTGAGCAGTTCACATAAAAAGGCTGTGCGATACAGCAGCCATCAGAGAGGTGTGGATGCTCTTGTGTCTCCACTGCTCTCACTACAGCAGAAGCCCTTGAAAGTGAACTGTAAAATTTAAAAGTTCTGGTTAACAGGACAAGGAAAGAGAAAGGCTAGAGAAGAAAAAAGCTGCATGGAGAGGGTAAAGAAGAAACGCAGAGAAAAGGACAGGCAAGGAAGTGATCAGAGAAGAGAGATGGCAGCAAGCACACTGAGCTTCAACTGCCTGTTAATCTGCTCTCTTGGCAGTGACTGACAATTAAAATGGAACATAAATGCTGGTCAAATAAAATCCTCATGTCTTATAAACTGTTTTTGAAATCTGAAAGAGGTGACACTTCTTAGCAGACAGCAGAACCTCATAAAAACACTTATCAGGGAAACAGATCAACAAAGAACAGTCCAAGTATTTTAAGAAAGATAGGACAGCCCCTGTAATTCTTGCTTTCTGGGAAGCCTTGGGAAAAGAAGATCAGGAGAAGAGCATATTAAGAAAGAAGCAAGCAATTGGCATAGGTTCAAATGTAAATCAGGCCACGTACATTTTTAAGATGTCAAGGAACAATATTAAAATTTAATAAAAAAAGCCCCAACAAACTAGACACACTTGAGGAAAATTATCTAGGAGTAGATCCTCACAAATCACACATACTGATAGCTGGTGCTTCATCCTCCCTACCCTGAACACCAGAAAATGAAGGGATGCTAACAGGTCATCTTTCAGCTTCACAACATGTGACATGGTGAGCTGTACATTAAAACTTTCTGATGAAAAACATCATCCAGCGGATGGCATCATGCCCAGGGAGGGAAGGGACTAAAAGTGAAATGAGTAAACAGCACCTTGAACATGTTTGCTTTGGAAGCTATCAAAAGAGTATCACATTGCTCACAGCAGTCAGCTGACAATTTAATCCAACAGAGGGTGGACTTTTGGAAGAGGAAGACCAAAGTTGTTCCATCTGAGGAGATACTGCAAGTGTAAGAGGGACCATTTGAGACTACAAGGTTGAACCTAATTATTTGCCCAATAATCAGAAAAAAATTTTCTTCTTAAAGAAAGAAGAAAATTCAGCTGTCTGAAAGCATGAGGGAGAAGAATGGCTTCTTCCCACGTACAAATATCCCACATGGGAGATGTGGTCTTGCCTGTGCCTTTCTGTGAGTAGCAGGCCAGTTAAAGACTATCTTTTTCATACTTAAAAGCATTCAAGAACAGGGAGAGAATAGCACTCATCCTGCTTTTCATCTGATGTGAAGCATTTCACACTTGTATTCTTTTTCCTTGAACATTAAGAAGTGTATTTAGCTCCTAATTCTAGAATTTCCTACTGGCCAATGTTCAAACATTGGCAGGAAACCAGGGGAAGGACACAAAACAAGTCCAACTGGTTCACTCTCTTGTTTTCCAGGGTGAAGCACTGGGATAAGTAAACTAACATTCACCTGATACAATCTTGCAACTCATGGTGATAGGCTGGAAGGATTTTCCTGGTGACTCTGCAGGGCTTGGACTCTGACCTTGAGGCACTATTTTACAGCTAGCTGCAATGGGTTGAAAGGCTGAATTTCCATGAGAGCCAAAGGCAACTTTCTGGGTGGCTAACTTGGTGGGAGTCCGTTCTATCGAAGATGGCAGGGAATAAAACGTGGCATGTCTTTCGGTTTCAGCATTCCCAGGGAATCCTGATTAAAACAGGGAAAAGAAGAGAAATAGTTCTTAGGCTGAGACATCTAATTCCTTACTATGCTTCTCTACACGAACAAAACTCGGGTACAACAAACACGTTCTCAAAGGAAGGAAGGAAAAGCAACTGGTGGGCAGCGCTGAACAGGGAGAAAGTGGGGTAGCGGGTTCCTCCTGCGCAAGCCTGTTGGGTTTGTCTCTGAATAGTAGAATAAAATGCTACCGTGCACAGCCTGTTCAGCTGCAGCAGGCGATCAGTCACTTCCTACACATTTTCTTGGAACAACCCTTCCACTGACCAAAAGCTGCTGGTAGTTTCAAGTGTCCTCAGTTAGGGCTCCACAGGACCAAGGCTGGATCTCCTTCGCAGAGAATCTCACAGTGCATTTTTTGGAGTAAGAGCACAAGGAGACCACCTACTGCCTTTGACCTGGGTTAAGGAATCCACCTTATCTGATGTAGAAGTAGACCAATTAACCTGGAGTTGATGAGAGAAGCCACTGCCTGTCAGTGTAAGAAAGAAGCAGGTTTACTTCCTTCCTGTTGGTTGTGGCACTGCTCACCTAAAAGTGCTGTGTATCTTCCTGTTTGAATAAAATGTCTGTGCATTTAAAATTTGGTAGTGTTTCTCCTTTTTTGCCCACAAGAAAACACTGCATTTAAACAGTAGACATTCTTCTTGCTGAGCCAGGACACCGCCAGTGGCATCACACTGCCTACCAGAAAGCACACTGTACAAGACACCAGCTTAAAGCCAGTCCTTGAACACAGGAGTGTCAGAATAAACCAAGAAAGACATCAGACCATGTGGCATGCAACTGTATTCTGAAACATAAAAGTTGTTGTTTCCAGCAAGTTTCTCACACTAAAATATGCAAACCACGAAAGACACCCTTGTTTCTCAGTCCAGTTAACCAAGGTCTGTCATGTCAGCCTTGGCAGCATACATTTCAGAAAATAAAGCTAAATGCTAACAGAGGCACAATTTTTCCTACTTCACGCAAAATAAAAATTGTAAGTGTGCCCAAGGGGCCAGCACTACCTTGTTTCAGGCAATTCAAATGATCCTAAGGCATCAACTGCTGCCCCATTGCAACGGGCGTTACATTTCCTGATCTTACAGGGGGAAGGTGAGAACGAGACCATGACATTCACAGACCATCCCTCAGACAAACATACACTACATCTATTTTACTCTCTATTTTCAAGACCACAGTGATGTTGTTTTTGTTCCCCCACACTCAATTAATGTCAGACACCTATAGAGGTAACTGAACACACCACTAAACCAATTCCTTAAATGTATATACAGTCCCCAAACATTCAGAAACCTAAAAAACCTCTGAAAACAGTCTGCCAAAAACAAAACTACAAGTGTTATTCAAAACAACCTTTTTTCCAACTGCATTTGCTGCATAAAGCTTGATATTCATTATGTTTAACAAAACAGAGCCCGCTCAACAAACTCCAGATTAAAAGAAAAAAACAAACCAAACGCAAAAAAACAAACCAACCATAATTTTTGAATTATATTTCAGATTACACCGAGGTGTGAGCAAACAGTCAGCACTGGCAATCTTTAAGGTACAAGAGCAATTAAAAGAACATATCTGGAAGAGCTGAAGTTCCAAGAAGTCAGATTTCACCAACACCCATTTGTTTTACCTTTGTCCACAGAAGCATCTGGGCTGGAGTCCCGCAACTGTTTAATTGGCGAAGAAGCTTTGACTGGTGCTGGGATGCTCAACGGCAGTGGTAAAGATGTAGGAACATCAGAAAGGTCAGACTCTGAACACGGGGAAAAGAGATACTCCTCTCCAAGGGAATGCCTATGTAGCTCCACATCCACTACCTTCCAGAAATAGGAGAAAGGATGACATTAATATTTGGTAGCTAGGTAAAGACATAAAAAAGAAAACCAACTCCACCTTTTTACTTTAATGTCTAGAAACCTCTCTCTCTTCTTCCCCCACCTCTGCATAACATTTCCATTCATTTCAGGAAGACTTCACAGAGGTCCAGTAACACCTGAGCTAAGACAAAAATCTTGCAACATGTAATCCCCACGGTAAATAGCACAACTCTCAGTCCGTGAAGAAACTCCAATAGTGAACACTGGAAGGAATGCAGAGCCCAGCTCCAAGCATCCCACTGAGGAGAGGACTGCATACCCCCTCTCAGGGACAGGCACAAAATTGCAACTTGCCTCTTCTGCGTTTTTTGATAAGGCCTTGAGAAACACACCACATTATCTATTCTTCAAAAGTGTTCTTTAATCACAGCAGACATCTCACATTAATATTTTCTCTACAGACTGAAAAGCTGAAGTAAAGCAATCTCACCATAAAGACTCCCATTTGCTACAGTACAACAAGGGGAAAATAATACAAAAAAACTTTAGGGATACAGCAAACTATGAATTATTAATTAATTTATTTTAAATTTTAACAGTTCATTTTCCATGAAGATACTGAATCTTGACAGATGCAGAAACTTA